ATCGTTGCTGAGAGAGGTAATGATGGCGATGCATGATGCATGACACTAGTAGTGAAGGACGAGCTTGGGAGAGTTGTCCTGCATAGGCTTGTTGACTTAGGTGTGGCTGTTGAAGTAGAAACTGTTGAGATTGAGATAGTTGAGACGGTGGCAGCTGAGGGCGAGGCCGAAGAAACAGTAGGCTCTATTGCATATAACGAACTACTAGAAAGCACAAAGTTTGAATCTTTGAAGATTGACATATTTTGGGGAACAAAATAAGCTGATGGTAGTCGTTGATACCTAGAAGCAAAGACACTTGAGGTAGGTGTGGCTGATAATTCTTTGGACTGTGTTGTTGCAGTCAAGGCTTGGGATGAAACCGGATCTTCTAAATTATGAAGGTTAAGTCGCAGAAGGTCAGTGGTCGGGGCTTTAGATGCCTTTAGCCTAATTTTAGATGGACTGTCAATAAAAGGTTCATTGCAATTGTCGTTATCACATACCTTGTCTCTAACAGTGATGGGATCCTGGTCATGCCACTGCTGAGAAAACAAGTCAGTCGAGGTTGATTCTGCGACAATAGTGCGTGTGGTGGCTATTGGTGTAAAAGCTGAGACAAGTGGGCAAGAGGCGACTGATGAAGAGGACAATGAAGATGAAGGTGAAAATGAAGAGGAGACTGAGACGAAACTCGAATGAGGGACCTGCATAGATAACTGGGTCTGCAGAGAAGCAGTGGCTGTGGCAACAGATGCAGATGTTTTGGTTGGCTCAACGTCATGGGAGCGGCTGCCAGTACGAAATGACAATCGGCTGGTGGAAGGAGGGCAAAATAACAAGAGGCCAGTGTCAAATGATCTAGCTGACACAGATCCTATGACCTTGGTAGTTGGTGGTAGTAATGAAGTTTTATTAGATGCTGTATTTCTGTACGTACACCAAGTCGGCTTCCTATGAATGACTGAAAAGGAAGCGGTATTTGTAGAAGGGGTCGTGGATGTGCAAGTCGTAGAGGAAATAAAAGAAGTAAAGGTGTTGCTTGAACTAATTGTATTGAGGGGAAGAGATGAATTAATAGGGACAGAGTAACCTGTGGTTGAATAGTAGGAAGCCGAGTAGGGAGAAAAAGTGGTAGATACTGAAGGAGACATGCCTAAAGACATGGAATCTAAGGGACCAGTAAAGGTTGTGATGGAATCCAAGGAATATGGATGACATTGTTGATTAGATAAGCACTCGAAACAATAGCAGAAGCAGCAACAATGGCTGCAGGTATCTGGAGAGCAGCTAGACAAAGCAGGTAAAAGGTGAAGGCGTATTATGTTGCGACCTGAAGGATGATAGAGCAGGAGCAAAGAATTAAGGAAGAGTAGAGTAAATAAATATAAGGCAAAAACGTAGAGTACGCGATCGATTTAAGATATTTGCTGTTTAGGGGCACATAAGGATATTATTATTATTTAATAGAACGATGTTAAGTATAGAGATAAAAAGCAGCTGATAATAGTAATATCTAAGGGGTTCCTTTTTTAATGGTTCTAAATGTACAAGCACTAGGTATGCGAGAAAAATGTCAGATTCCGTAAGTATTACCCTAGTTAATAAAAGGAAACTCTGACAGCACAGTGTAGGGCAAGTTTGAGGACAATCATGCATAAATGATGTCAAAGACTATAGAGATATTGCGATAAAAGCAGACTTAGGGATAAAAGACAGAGAGATAAATAAACCCAATGATCTTGTTATCAGGGGGATTTTGTAGAACGCACCTAGTCCAAAGTCGTCTGCCATATTAGTTGTCATAATTCCCAGCATCACACAGTGGATTTGGTACATTCTCTAGCGTTTCGCCGGCATCGTAGTCGGCGTCATCAGTGAGTGGTGCCATTCTCCGCAGCAAGCTACGAACTAGTCAAATAGACAAGTTAAGTCAATCCCTCGACAAATGTTCTGCCGAAAACGGTTACACTTTCACTCGTCTTTCTATCCTGGCCTATCTATCTACTCTTTACCATCTTATCCAACTCCCACCCTATCAAAACTCCTCATTTGTTTACATTCAATTCGTCAAAATGTGTACCCTTTTGTGGAAAATTTAGTGTGACCTCATCACACCTGCTATTCACCCGGACACGCTCTCTTTCGATTGGCTAATCTTACTCGGGCCTACAATCCGGATCACCCACATGGTCCCGCAGGTCCGTTCCTTAGCTTTCTGGTTGAGAGATTTCACTCGGTTTCAGTCACAGTGTGCGTTTCAATCTAGCCACTATTTCTCAGGGCCCTAGAAGCACGTACATTGCCGCCTCACCGATCAGAGCGACAAGGCTCTGATTTTCCTCCGGAACCTTTGATGTAACTTGATTCGTATTCTAATTTTTCTCCTTGCTTCGACAATATATTTCTGTTTGCACGCACTCGTGAACAATCCAATACACAAGTCTACCGAAGCAATATTTCATATTGCTGTAGTTTTTGAGTTACTTCGCAGGAGGGTAGGCATATCCACTATTGTGAATCCTTCATTGTCCTTACTATTCATTCATAGTCCCAGTTCTGTCACCGATTTTTTCATGACCCGTATGTTTTTTTGTATTACTTCACTTGGGTAACCATTGCCGAGGAATATCCTAGTAAATTTGTCCAACTTCTCGGCTCAGAATTCTACATCCATTAAACGTAGGCTTCGGATGATCATGCTCCTCATTATTATTATCTTTAGCTAGTAATTGTGATGGGACCGGAAATTAAGTATTATCCGAGAATAGGACTTCTTTCTGAGTGCGTCATTAGAGCAAATCACTTCAACATTCAGGAACGTTAACCGCTCATCTTCCTATACTACCATCGTAAATTGAATTTTTCCATCAATCTCTTGCTCCATACTTGTTGTTGACTATCAGCCTTAGTGATTCGCCTACTTTGCTTATCTTTGCTAATCCGTAGACTGTTGGTGATCGGGCATCCTTTCTTATGACTGAATTTCTTGTCCATGCGTCAATTTCCTCGTTCATATGCATATCTTTCAGTATATCACTTAAGATTCCATTGATCTTCATAGTTGGGTCGTTGTTTAGTAGACGATATGTCGTCCTGTCTCGTAGAATATGTTCTACTTTCTCGGTATATTGTTTTTGGTCCAATATCATTGTAGCTCCTCCTTTGTTCG